GCTGAACCCACTCTGGCCAATTAATACAGTCTTTGTCCATATGTAGCACCTTCGGAATTCGTTTTTGATATTAACTGTTTTTATTGCTTTAATGTTTTATCATGCCAATAGCCTTGTAAGCCGCCCTGAGCCTGCTTTAGCGTGGAGGGCAGGGTATTAATAATAATAACAACAATAAATATTATTATTTTTAAAAAACTGATGGAAAATGTCCTCTTTTGGGGTCGGGAGGTTAGGAATACTCCTAGTTAGTAGCAGTTATCCACAGCTTCAACAGTAGGGGGTGTTTCAAACAAGATTTGTCATGACCATCACTTGTTTGAAGCAGTCAGTCGGGAAATAGGTCCTCTTTTTTGCTTTTCCAAATATGATCACCCGACTTCATTTATAACCCGCCTTTCTCCTCAGAGGGGACCTAAGTCACCTTACAGCATCACGCGCCTCTCCTCTTTGACATGGGTATTATCCCCCCCCCCAAAAAAAAAAAAACTGGATTCGCTTCGCTCGGGTTTACTCCCGAGTCAGCCTTGCCCAGGATCGCACCAGCCTCACAGGGTAATGAAAGAGAAGGCGGCGGCTCTTCCCGTTCCGAGGGAGGGGAAGGAGCCGGCCCCTCTGGGCCGATCCGGGGCGGGGACAATTGGTGGATCCGTCCCCCGCCCGCGAACCTTCTTCATGGAGCAGCGAGACCTGGGCAGCTTTTCTTTGCCTCCGAGTCTGCGGGCCAAGCTGGTCGCCGCCGGCTTCCAGACATCCCAGGAGGTGCTCGACGTCCGGCCCTGCGAGCTCAGCAAAGGTAGGCCGCGGGAGAAGGAGCCGGGCCCGAGGGGGAAGCGCCTCTTCCTGCCTAGACGCTTCCCGCCAAAACCCGTCTCACAGTCTGTCCCTCAGGGGAACAGCGCTTGGCCTCCCCCTTGCCGCGGTAGATGGTTCGGCCCACTGCCGCTGGAGCGGCAGGAGGAACTGTGTGTGTGAGAGAGAGAGAGAGAGAGAGGGAGAGAGAGAGAGAGAGAGAGATTTGGTCAGTGTTCCCTCTAAGCTGAGTTAGCGTGAGCAAGCTCACAGGTTTTTAGCCTCCAGCTTACTTTTTTTTTTGGTCCTAGCTCAGGAAGGATGGCGCCAGAGCGAACTAACTTATGCAGTAGCCAAATCGCTTGCTCACAACTTCAATGCCAGTAGCTCACAAAGTATGATTTCTGCTCACAAAACTCCACAGCTTAGAGGGAGCACTGGATATGGTTACCATTATTTTGAGAAGTAAGAAAGAGGACCTGTTTCCCAACTGACTGCTTCAAATAAGTTATCACTATGACAGATCTCATTTTAAATGCCGCTGCTATTTAAGGTATTGATTGGGAGGGGCTGTGGCTCAGTGGTAGAGCACTCCCTTGGCATGCAGGAAGCCCCAGGTTCAATCCCCGGCATCTCCAGTTAGAAGATCTGGTACCAGGTGATGATGTGAAAGCGGCTGCCAGTCTGAGTAGGTGGACTGAGGGTCTGATTCAGTATAAGGCAGCTTGGTGTGTTCAAGCTGTGATAATTGCTACTAACTAGGTATATTCCTAACCTTTCAACCCAGAAAGAGGACAATAATAAAAAAATAAATGTTATCGAAGGCTTTCACGGCCGGAGTTCATTAGTTGCTGTAGTTTTTTGGGGGGGACATTTGCACTGTAGATTTCCCAACAGGCTTGAACTCAGCCAGGTAGTTCCCCGTCCAAAAAACACACACCCACACCCACTTTATAAATGGTCGCTATTGATTGCATTTTTAGAAAGGGAACTGGCAAAATGGGACAAGGGTAACCAATATAAAAAGGTAAAGGTTCCCTTGCTCGAAAGCCAGTCGAATCCGACTCTAGGGTTGCGGTGCTCATCTCCGTTTCAAAGCCGAAGAGCCAGCGCTGTCCGAAGACGTTTCCGTGGTCATGTGGCCGGCATGATTAAACACCGAGGCGCACGGAACGCTGTTACCTTTCTCACCAAAGCAGTACCTATTTATCTACTTGCAATTTCTTGCTTTCGAACTGCTAGGTTGGCAGGAGCTGGAACTAGAGACAGGAGCTCACCCCGTCTTGCGGCACCCGGGTCTTGAACCAATATAAAACCATGTATATGTTGCGGTTTTTTCGCCCTCATTCTAGCATATTGGCCCAGTCTGGAAAGAGGACATTTTCATCAGTTTTTTTAAAAAGAGGAGGGATACCAAAGAAAGAGGACATGTCCTCTTTGTAAAGCAAACAAACAAACTCGCCTGGACTTAAAAACATGCACAGGCAGGGAGAAAGGGTGTGTGTAAGGCTGCCTGCTGGGCTATTTCCCATTTGGAGAGTTCTACCATGGAGGGGAGCGTTTAAAAAATGTCGTCTAAGAGATGTGTTACGGTGTTACAGCCTTGGCTATTCAGCTGCATCTGGGATTTGATCCTTATCTGTTTTGTTTTTTTTTTAAAAAAATAATGATGAATGTGTACAGCAACATTGGTGTAGGTTGTCCCTTAACTGCCTTTCTGTGCTGTTGGTTTTATGGCTGCTGCTAGATCAGATGGGTCTATTGCAGCCTGGGTTAGCTTTCCTTAGGTTAGTTGCTTGAATTTTAATCGTTCTTCAAGCTTTTTTATGTTGTGAGCTGC